TTACCACCCATTACACCCACCTAAAGCTACCCCCTCCCCCTTGAACTACCCTACCTTGGGGCGAGTCTCGTTGGGACCACGACAGACAAGTTAAGAAGGGACTGTGAGTCCAGTGGTTGCTAGTTCGGTCACAGAACCAGGATTGTGAAGCACATCTGAGTTCGGGGCGTCCTTCACGCATTTGGTCAACGACCAGAGGGAGCCGTATAGGAAATACAGGCATTGAAAGGGAGACAGAGAGGAATCCCAAACACCCGAACAGCCAGCGATCACCTTGTGTGCAATGTTCATTATTATAGCAGGGCCAAACACAAGTACACAACTCCACTAAACTCATTGAAGGGTCTCATTGCCGAACCTCACGATAATACCCATTCCCACACGGAGTGTCTGCACCAATTCACATAACACCGGCACGAACACGCACCTTGCTAGTTTGGAAGCCACGCGATCGCACGGAAAAACAGGCTTAGAGGGCAGAGCTATAGCCTGCAGGCATCGCATTTTTACCAGTTCCGAAGATACTGCTGGGTCATCACGAACGAGCTCAGGAGATAAGAAAACTCCGAACCACCTTGGTTTCCCGGCGAGGAACGAATATCACATCGTAGAAGCTCGCACCCTCGCACGAGTGTAGAATTCCTCCTACTGTGGCTCTCCGAGAAGGCGCTAGTAGCCCCCAACGAAGGACCAAACCTTCGAGGAACCTAGCACTAGTACCCTGCATGAGCAAGGGAAAGTTGATATAACCACCACCACCACCAATTAAAATAACTTCTTGCATCGAGTAACTTGACCGAACTCACCAGTGACAGAATAATATGCCCCTAGAGGACGAATATACCACTGTTGTTTGACTGCCTGTAACCAGCCGGTTGCTCGCACACTCACAACCACAGTCCACATCACACCGCACGGGCAAGCACAATTTAAACCCTTCGGAGCTAGCAGTTCCTGTTTCCTCCACCGTAGTGAGTAGGCTGGCCGGGGTGCCTGCCGTTCCCAGTTTGTCCACCAATGTAACTCTTCACGGAGTTTCGAAAGAGTTGTTAAAGGCTGACTGATGGTCCTACTGGTTGGGGAGCCTTCACGACGCGTCAGTTTAACGGGTTATCCACGTCAACTGGCCGTGTCTACTAGCCTCGGTGACCGATGACCAGATGAAGACTCCGCGGAGGGGAGGAAGACGTAAGTAAGCTTGAGTAGCGAGAACTTACCTCAGGGATGACAATCTTCCTTCAGACACGTCTCACGAGTCCTTTAGGGAGATTGTGTATGAGAGTAAAAAGTTAGATCTATTGTCACAGAACTGTCGAGTATGAGTACATTTGACAGTAACGATTCTCTAATAATAATAAGTACAATCGCCTTGATGGCGATGCTAATCGTAAAGTCGTGAAATGAAATAGAGTCATAGTGTTATATCCAAGCGGGGGATATGGGGCCTTGTCGACCGGAAGGACCAGGTCTGCAACAGCACCAGAGCAGAGGCGGAGCAGAGCGGACTGAGCGACAGGATGAGACTACACAACAGAGGGGCTGTGCGAGTCTTACTGCACGGTATTGACGGACGGAGGCAGTGGGGTGGGGAAGGTTGACTTCCACAAGTGTGCCGGAGAGGTCGGAGTGCACGGAGCTCTTTGCAGAGGGATAGCGAAGAAACATTTATTATCAAACTGAGGAATACAGAGTATGCTAAGGGGTTTATGTAGTTTTAGGGCTTATCTATTAATATATCAAACGATTGAGTAGAAACCATGCGGACAACCCAGGGTTATCTGTGATCACCAAGGCCTTCCGCAGCCTTCCACCGGTTCATTTCACTCCGCTCCGCTCGCTCCGATCTGCCACTGGGTGGAAGGCGGCGGAGGGACTTCTCGTCAAGTCAACGCCAAGCCTACACCTGTGGAGCAACCCTACGCCCTCAACCCTGGTTCCTGACATATCCACAAGGTTGTTTCACTTATCCCGACAACCATCGGTGTTATATCCGTGCATGCACACACCCAGGACATCACCAGAAACCTCCAAGTAGTCACCGGTCACTCGACCGGTACCAGCCACTCGACCGGTGGATACTCGTGGGATCTTCTAGAGTCTTATCGCACCATCCTTGCGCCATACAATCACCAGGCCCTCAGCCTATGGCCAATGGACCTCATCCTTATTGTTCAAGACTTCTCTGTTATTGTGTTCACCACTCTAACCCCATTTGGAATCACCTCCTATTGTTAGTTCCACATGGTTCCTACTTCTTACCCCTTATACATATACAATAAGCTTTACACTATTTAATCTCGTAGTCTACATCCTTGTTCTTCAGTCTGATAATAAATGTTCTCTTCACTTCTCCTCTGTGAAGAAATCCGATTGTACCCCTCCGGCACCGGTCATCCTACCGGTCGTCCGCTGCTCAGTCTTGGGATACGTAGTAGGGGCTCGCGCAGCACCTCTGTCGTGATTGCCTGAAAAGCTCGTTCCGCTGGTCACTCGTCCCCGTCACTGGTCATCTCCGGTCACTCCACGCTCCCCGGCCGAAAGCACTCTGCCCCGCCACTCGGATATAACAAGGATACAAAAAGGGCTTCCTGACAGTCTCTTACACCATCCGATGTCCCTCTGAGCCAAGGCACTTGTTCGCTTACCTAGCAGCCTACCTCATTCTGCTGGGGATCATCTGCGGTGATATCAGTGGACATTCCACCCTGGAAAGCATTCGCCTGACCACTGCCCATGCTCTCAAGTGGAACGACGACACTAAACCCGTATTCCGCACGATGCAAAGCTGTACAACAATGAAGACGCCAATCCAGGCCATGACAGACAAGTCCTTCCTGGAAAAACATCATATCATAGCCGCACGCTGTGGCATGGATGGTATGGACATTGGCCATAAATCTTTCGTGTCTAACAAATTCCACAGGGGAGGACAATCAATATGGCGCGACTTTATATGGTTTGAGGAAGTACTTTGCCACTCGAATGACCATTGTGAAAGGTCCCGATGCCGCCAGAACAAGTCTAGCCCATCAGTACAACAGCGCAACTCTAATGGATCCCAGGCGTCTATTGATTTTTTTGCTGTTGCGACGGGGGAAGAAGATCCATCTAACCGTGAAGTCCACGGAAACAAAGCCGCAATCTTTGCAGGCAGAGCAGAGCCACTTCCCGTTCTCTCGCTGGAACAGCTTTGCACCATTGAGCCAGAGTTGGCGGCTGTTTTGCTAGACGCGAATTTTCTTGATGACGAAATTAACGCAACAGGCTCCGAGTGGAAGACAAAACTAGTATGCCTCATACACAGATTCACCACCTCGCTGCTGATCATCATCTCAAGGTCTCAAAACTCCAGCTTGAATCTGATGACACGCCACAGACCGTGCTTGCATGGCTGTCCAAGAGAGCCAAGTATCTCACGCGCCAAGCTAGAGAAACCCAGCTTCGAAGAGCGGGCAAGGCTGCAACGGCCAATCGACGTGCTCAAATGACCCAAGAGCAATTCATGGCAGCACACGACCGTCTCGAGAACCCGGCATCTCTTCAACACTACCTCGCCGCCCAAGCCGCCAAAAGCACAGCCGGCCGGTTGAATCGGCGCAACGACCCTGCTGGGGCTGGACAACACACCTTAGATTATGCAGTAAACATAGGAGCAATGGACGAGGATGACGATGCGGAACCGGAGAGTATTCCTCTAGCTATCTGTTATATCCATGCACAACCAACCTTCAGAAATGCGCCTCGACAACTCAAGACCACGACCGGTAGCACCGGTCAGCGACCGGTGCCGGTCACGACCGGTACCGGTGGCGCGGTGGTACCTCGTGGACATCGTATGGCGCCATAGTCGCACCATAGCACCAGCTGGCCCTCAGCCATGTGGTGCTAGGTCTTCTTTCTTATTGTTCAAGTTTCTCTACTATTGTGTTTGAACTTCTAACCCCATATGGGTTCTTGTCTTTATTGTTACATCCACATGGACGACTTATTTTTCCCCTTATATTATACAATAAGCTTCACTACTATATAATCTCGTACTCTACAACCTTGTTCTTCAGTTTGTTAATAAACGTTGTTTCACCTTCCCTGTGCAGCAATCCGAGTCACCGGTCTCCACCGGTCGTCTTGTCCCCCCATCCGGTCCTCTCCTGGGATCAACGGATAGTGTCGCTCGCCCTACCCCTCTGTGGCGTTGCGATATCTAGTCCTCCGGTCACCACCAGTCACGACCTCTCTCCGGTCGATACTCTACCAGAGTTCTGTCCGACTGGTCGGCTAGACTCCTATATCCCTGCTCGGATATAACACTATCGAGGCGCAAAATATGCTGTCGTATGTGTTCCTCCTCGATTGCAGTCTACAACATCTCACACAAAGTTGTAGAGATCTCCTCACGCTCAATAATCTCTCTCCGTTCATTTGCGATCAGTGTTGGGATGACAAGACGACCCTAGAGGAGGACCGGGGCAAAGACTGGGGCACAGCTCAGGCATTTCATAACCATAAACAGTGTTATCATGAACCCCTCCCGACCCTCCAACAATTTCTCCTTTTCCTGGGCACCGTCATCGGCGACCAGTTTGTTTGCCTGTGGTGCCCCAAAAAGAAGACCCCCAAGCAGTGGAGGCATCATGCCGACCTCGTCGAGCACATTGTGGAGACGCACAGCAAAGAAGAGGTCAATGTGAAGTACATGTTGATCATTAATGCCGGGCTCGAGTCGACGCAGGACAAGACGAACATGAAGGCGCTACAAACCAAAGACTCAGCAGCAGCACATGCCATTGACACTGCAGCAGCCATTGCGAAACGAGGGACTGGGTCACAGCCTGGTCCAAAGCCTTGACAACCTCTGACCTTGGACGCCATACGTCGACACACCCGATCTGATACCCTCCACTCCCTACAGAAGAAAGCCTTGCGACTTCAGCGTTCTAAATACTTCAAAAAAGCAGGAAAATAGAGGAGAATTGCGGAAACCTTCTAAGGGTTTTTAAAAAGGGCCCAACCGGGAATTGAACCCGGGACCACACACAAATGGCTTACACAGGTAAGCGGGACATCCCGAAGCGTGTATCATACGTCTAGACCATTGGGCCGACAAGGACAGGCAATATACCATGAAGGATGGGCAATATACCATGAGCACAGGGAGGTGAGAATGAGTTCCTGTAACAGCACACTAATTATCTACCAGCATGACCACACAGAAAGAAAGGTGCCTTGTCAGATATCTTGTGAAGAAGTATAGGTTGGTCCTCTGGTACACCTGAGTGGTGTCTAGGTTGTGCTGGCCGGATGTCAAGGCTTGGCAGTCAAATTGATGCAATGGCCTGGAAATAATTCCTGAAGCTGTAGATGAAAAAGGAGAAGAGTTAAAATGAGTAACTTAGCTGGAATTGACTTTGATGAACATGGATATCAAAACTTCTCATGGATTCATGGCAGTAAGAGGTAGAGGAAGTCCAGATAAATAATACCAAATATATACATAAAGTGTCCGGATGTAATTATAAGGGGATACCTGGATGTCCCACAGTGTCAGCGACGGCGCTTAGGTCAGCCTGACCATGACACAGCCCAACGTGGCTATCGTCCCAGCGCGGGTGTTGAGTCGGAATACGTCACGTGTCGAATCACGAGTGACTGCCAGCCGAGGATTCAGGCGAGTCGAGCCAGAAGTTGAACCGTGAGAACCCAGTAATAACCCGGCCCCTGCATGGGTTAATCCGTACGTGATCGAGTCGTACTGGGTTGTCGTTCAACGCTGCTCGACAGCAGAATCCATAGGTGAAGGGTGTCCGAGGAACTCGGACACAGTCGACTTCGTGGGCCATGGTGCAAAGGTTCCGTGTCGGTGGCTAGATGGTGGTGTGTTATATCTGTGCACGAGAGAGCGCGGAAGGACCTCCACTGGCCTCCGCCTGGTCCACCAGCTCCGCCCCCCTCCGCCTCAGCTCCGACAGGCGGACCCAGTATAGGGCATACCGGGGAGCACCTCGTGTAGATCCACGATCACCTCCACTTTACCCAGGCTTCCCATTGGTTCATGTGCTCGCCATGTGTGCCAAGAAGGTCATTTGACTTATCCCAGATTAATATCGGATAAGTCAATAGATAAGTTCACATGACCAAGGATAAGTCTATTGTTAAGTACCCCTGGATATTGATTCGTTTCATATTACGTAAAAGATAAGACTTAGCATATATAAACCACTTAGTATATCCCTATTCTTCAGTTTGTTGGAAGCTCGCTCACCGAGCTCCGCAAGACAGACAGAAAAGGAAGGAATAAGTCGGGGGGCCAAGAGTAACAACAAGTCCCTTTTGTGGGGGAGTGATATTGAGGTACGTGAGGGTACAAGAAAGGTGGTCGTGGTGGTACGAGGTCAAGAAAGGGTGAGTATACTACTGTTTGGCACGGGCGGTAAGTGTGTATAGGTAAGCGGCAGGATTACACCCCTCCCCTCCCTGAAAAACTGTCCGTGTGAAATGGAGAGAAGAAGAAAATACCTAGCGAGCCCTACTCAGAATTTTTCTCGATCCAACGGTCGAGAGCTTCACATTCGGCCAGTTCACGGCCAGGCAGCCAACGTTCGTCTTCAGCGCCGTGGCCGGCCCATCGAACGAGGTATTGTTTGCCACGGCCGCGAGGACGTTCATCGATAATGTCGGCAATTTCCCATTCCTGTTGACCGTCGGGCGTTACGATGGGGCCAGGGCGGGGGAGTTGGCGTGTTGGGAATAGGTCGGGATCATTTTCAATATAGGGCTCGACCTGTGAGGTATGGAACACGTTGAAGACACCGGGTTGACCACTCATGTCGAGCGTCACAGTAGAGCATTCTTTGTGAACTGCGGTGATGGAGTACGGTCCGTCGAAACGCGACATGAATTTCGCGCATCGGCCAGAGCCAGTGCGTAGGTACTGGGCTCTACGGTTTTCGGTGTTTAGTTTTACGCGGTCGCCGACCTTGTAGTCGGGATCAGGTGCGCGATCCTTGTTGGCGTGGTGTGACTGGTTGATCTTGGCCGCAAGGAGATTATCCTGCGCCTCGAGCACATCAGTCTCCAGTTGTGCAATGATAGACGCAGCGGAAATTTCTTCCGGTGAGCGTCCAGACTGTTGTAACAGCGGAGGAATGAGGCGGGGTGAGCGACCCATCTTCAGTTGAAACCCGGTGAAACCAGTGGATTTGTTGACGGTATTCATTAGATGGAAACGAACGCGCGGTAGCGAACGGACCCAACCACGCTGGTTGCGAGCAACGTGGTAACGAAGACATTGGTTCACAGTTTTATTTGTGCGTTCACTAGCACCATCCGTCTCGGGATGGAAGGCGGTGGACATTTTAAGCTTCACACCAGTCAATTTGTGCAGTGCAGCCCAGAACTTCGAGACAAAAAGTTTGTCGCGGTCCGAGATGATCTCAAGTGGGAGACCGTTCTCGCAGTACCAGTGGTCGAAGAACAGTACGGCAAATTCTTCGGCGGTGATGTTCGTGCGAGTAGCAGCAAGTTGGAAATCACAACCCAAGCGGTCGGTAAAGGTTGCAATGCAGTTCTTCCCTTGGTCTTCGGGCAACGGACCCACGAAATCAATCGCGACCGAGTCACCCCGATGTTCAGGGATTGGCAGTGGGTGCAGGGGACCTGCGTGCTTCGTGGTACGCGATTTGTGACGTTGGCAGTCCGCGCAGGAAGGAATGTAGGCCTGTTCTAGGTCTCTGCGCATATTCGGCCAGTAGTAGGCATCTCGCAGAGATGCGTAGGATTTCTCGAACCCAAAATGGCCGAGCGAGTCGTGTGCAAGACGATACAGTGTTTCACGGATGTTACCCGCGCGGGGAATCACAATTCGGTTCCCGATGAACGAAAGATTATCCTTGTACAGGAGTCCCGGTATGCTCTCGGTGAGGGCAGCCAATTTGGCGCAGTACGGATCGGAGACGTAGCCTTCGCGGATGGAAGTCATGAATTCGTTGTCCACAGCGACCGACATAATGGCACACAGGGCATTGACTGGAGGGCGTATACGCGTGCGAGCCAAGCATTGGGCAGCACGCATCGGGGAGGTGTCTGAGGCGCAGTAAAGTGTAGCCACAGTTGAGACGTCATCTTCGTCGACCGGCTCAGAAGCGTGCTGTGCAGCGTCGCTACTATCGTCAAAGTCTGTGCGTGAGAGAGCATCTGCGACGGTGTTCGCCTCGCCTTTGACATATATTATTTTGCATTCGAATTGAGACATGAACTCCATCCAACGTGCTTGTCGGCGCGACAAGTCCCGTTGAGAGTCAAAATTCTCTAGTGTACGGTGGTCAGTGTACACTAATATCTGGTGGCCTATGAGGTCTGCTCGCCAGCGGCGCAATCCACGGATGATGGCAAGGAGCTCCTTCTCGTGGATCGGGTAGTTCAGTTCGGCGCCCTTGAAGGTCATTGAGTCAAAGGCGACCGGACGAGCGGTTTCCCAAGTCTCGCCGTACGAAAGTACCGCACCAGAACGTTTGTCTGATGCGTCGGCGGTGAGGAATATTTTATTGTTGCCCATTTTTTCATGGTTGATTGTCGTCAGGCAGTCGCGGCCAGCGACAATACGTTTAACGCCATCGAAGGCGTGTTGGTTCTCGTCGGTCCACTCGGGGAACAGTTTATCGCAAGCTTTCGTGGTAAGACGATGCAGAACGTCAGTGTGTTCAGCGAGATCAGGCAGGAATTGGCTGACATAACGGACAACGCCGAGGAAGGCTCGAACGTTGGTCGAGGACCTGGGTGTAGGCCAGTTCAGGATCCGTTCAATCTTCGACTCGTCGGCTTCAATGCCGCGTGCGGAGATGAGGTGTCCCAAGAATTTAATCTCGGAACAGAAGAGCTTTGTCTTCTTCTCATTACAATACAAGCTATTAGCTTTCAATGCGTCGAATATAATGCGAACATGTTTTTCATGTTCTTCGACTGTATCCGACCAGATAACAATGTCGTCGAGATACACATGGCAAATTTTTCCGATGTGTTCGCGCAGCGCGGCGGTGACACGTCGCTGTTGAATTGAAGGAGCATTTCGGAGACCCTGTGGCATCACAAGCCATTCGTACAGGCCGAGCGGTGTGCTAACCGCCGTGTACTTTATTGAGTCAGGGTGTAATCGCGTCTGGAAGAAACTGTCCGTGAAATCGATTGTTGACCAGATTTTTCCTTTCGCGCAGTCCGCAAGGATGTCATCGACTCGCGGTAGAGGGAAAACATCATGTATTGTATTTCCGTTGATATCACGGAAGTCATTGACCCAACGAGGGAGTGCGTCTTTGTCCGCTTTGGGGATTAGAAAGGCGGGGGAGGCGTATGGAGAGTTTGACGGGCGAATTCTGCCTGCGTCGAGGTGTTTCTGGATCAGTATCTGCCATGCGTCCTTGTATTTGCGAGGGGACTGGTACGAGCGTTTCGATATAGACTGGTACGCGTCTTTCATCTTTATTTCGCAAAGAACGTCCGTTGGCAGATCGTCGACGTGTGGGATTGGTTCGAATATAGGACGGTAGTCCTTCTTTAACTTGATGCCGAGTTTTTCCCGCCGTTCAGCTTCCTCGAACGTCTCTATTCGTTCGTGGACAGCGGCGACGACATCGACCTCGCGGACAGATTCAAACAGGTTCGCATCAGTCAAGCGTTGCAAACAATCAGCGCATGCGGACTTCAGCTCCTCCGCGAGTAGCTTATGGTCCGCCTTCGTCTTGCGAAGACGTTCGCGAAGCTTAATCTTTGGTGGTTTAGGAGGAGCGGCTGGTTGGGGGTCAAGAAGATTGTAATTTACACGTTTATCTATCACAGTACGTTCGACGTGGTCTATTACAATGTGGTTTCGGGTAAGGAAAGGAAGCCCCAGTATTACATCGGCACACAGGCCGGGCGCGATGAGTGCGCGTACAGTACGAGATTCGTAGCTAAGGTCATTGGAAAGGGCACGAAATTTTACATATTCAGTGAGAGTAACGTTCTTGTCGGCGTCGCCGTCTACCGCGACCCCGACATCTTCTGGTTTGAACAATTTTCGACGTTTGAGAGCGAGGCGGTCGACGAGGTCCGGGTTGATTAATACTAG